CTTGGTAACGGGCGATTAGTTCTAATCGCCCGCTCTAGCGGGCGATTAGAACTAATCGCCCGCTACAGCGGGCGATTAGTTAGTAATCGACCCTGTTGAAACAAAAGAAACCCGGGCAACTATGCTATTATTATAGTTATCAACTAAGAATCTGATATTGCTTCACAAAAGTCATTAAAACAAGTCCTTTAATGTGAGGGACGCACCATTGGAGAAGTGAAGGGGGGCGCGGAGTAGTTATATGTTTTAAATATTTTGCTTGTATGGATTTTTCGGTTCTTACCCCGCCCGCTTCCTTTTTAAACGGCCCATCCCTAATAGTGATTCATCTAATTAACATTTATAATTAAGAATCGCAAATGTCAACACTATTTCAAGTAGTTTTAGACGTTAATGTTGAGTTTTCATATTCAGAAGATTGTTAATTCTTGGTCCAGCGAACGCCAAAGAATATTTCCATACAGGTTCTGTTTTTACTTTTGGAAGGACCATGTTATTATAGACACATGCAGTCACTTTGAGAGTTCAAAGAGTTCAGTGCTCATTTGAATCTTGAACCTCCATTGTCCTTGTGTTAAAGTCTTGTGGGATTGTTTGAAACCCACCTAAAAAATTAAACTACTAAAAAAATTAAACTACTAATTAAACTACATAACTACAATTACAACTATTGTGATATTTTTAATTATGTTATTTATTCTAATCCATTCCGTTTGTATTCATTTCAAACTATAATATAAATGCTTAAACGAAGACAATTTTGGCTTAATTATCTAGAATATTTATTTTGGTTCGTGGAAACACCACGTATATTCATTATTGAAAAGCTTTCGATCCATAACAAGGGTCTTCACGTCATTTCAAATATCCAGGGTATCTGGCGGAATTTTGGAATGGGGAATTCTTTCACATTATCTTTGTAATTCGTTTTTTTACATCCGAAGACTGGACTGCCTGTGATGTCATTCTTGCCAAATTAATGCTATAGTCGTTCAACATTAACCAAATCTGCCAAAGGTAGTCGAGTAAAGGCCTAGGTTCTAGGCTGCTACTACATCAGCACTGACCAAGATCCGACCTTACAAATGGAAAGCCTTGCAATTATTAAAAATATACGTGGTGTTTCTACAAATGAAAATAAATATTTTATCGCCATGCAAACATGCAATGAGCATAAAATTATCTGGATTAAATTGTGGTGTGCAAAGGAATTAAACAGCAGATATTTTTAGGAAATAAAATCTTTCAATTTAAAAAAAATGAATTTAAGTTTAACTTTTTTATCAATAAAAACGAATTAAAGGTCAACAATTTTATGTCAAGATTGGTTGTACCAGAAGGCATGTATACTCTTTTCCGCTCGTAGAAAACATATGCAATCAGGCAAACACTTACTTTTTACTTACCGGTACAAGATATATCTTCTTTACCCAATCCATTTTCGCCAAGCTCGCAAGGACTAATTTTTCAGTGTACAAAGCCACACTAACATTGGCCCATGTAACCATTTCATCAAAATTAGAAGCTCTGGCAAGATGTTGAGCCTTCTTAGAGAATTGAAACGCTTCTTCTAGGAATATTTTGTTCTTTTCAGGATTAACTTGGGCATACCGATAATAAAGGGTCGACTGTACCAAATTGAACTGAACCTCACGGTATCGACTGAGCGAATACCCACTACATACCGACTCATTTAACGCCATTAGGCTAGACTTCGCTGTTTCCAGCCTTGATTGATTTACATGCTTCTCGATTATCTTTCCTGACATATTATATCCAAGATGAAATGTTGCCAAAATGATGTACGCCTTGTGTTCCATTTCTACCTGTGCTGGAGACCTTGGTGCATACTTCAAATGTTCAAGTACCTGCTTAGAAAGTTCGGCAGACGATGGACCATCCTCATTTCGTCCAAAGTTTTGATTCATTGCTGCAAATGATAATGTCACTGCTGTAATAATCCCTGGTGTTAATTGGTCCGCCTTAAACAAAGCACTTTCCAATAATTTGCTAATAGCTTCGAATTTTCTTTCCGCACGCTTTAAAGCTGCTTCCAAACACAAATAAATCACTTCGAAAATCATGGGATCGTTTGCTTTCGGTAAAAATTCATCATAATCAACAAGCAAGAGACGTGCTTTGTAAAGACGACCTTGCCGGTAACTCGCTATGACTCTCCTTGACAAAACCATCAGCTTCACCTCAACTTCAGGATATTTATCTTCAAATAGCTTCGCATATTTTGAAAATATTTCCCATTTGCCATTATTAATGGCCGTCATTAAAACTTCACGAACCTTAGTGCAATGACGTTCTGTGGCAGATGAGCTCCATTCAATTCGTTGTACTGCTGCACGAATATCTACATAATCACGTTTGAATACTCTCTTCTTCCAAGCAGCAATCGACATCTTCTCAACTTTCCCCTCCACCATTTCATAACATTCTGGTTCCTCAGTGAACACACCACCCAGACAGGCAGCGATGTAAATGACGATCACAAAGGTTGATGGGATAGGTTTGGAGTTTTCATCTTTCACTGGCTCAAAGAATATTTCCCAGTGTTCCCCTCGTGTTGGTTGACCAATCTGCTCAGGCCAGGTCATTTTGTTGAAGACTTTCTCAACTTTCTTTCTTATTTCACTTTGGTCGTTCTCATTGGAAATCCACTCTCCTTCAACAATTCCATCATCTCTGATACCATAGTAGATGTGACCTCCGTTATGGTTGGCAAACGCTGAAACATAGCAACTGAATTTATTACCTTTACCAGTCATACGATCTGCTAGTGTGGTACGTTTTGATGCAACTGCTTTTAGATGCTTTAACTGGACTGATTTGTTATCTTGAAAACTACTATTTGTATCCTTAACAAATGTTTTACAATGTGAGTCAAGCTGGACTGGTTCGTGGACGACTTTTCTGTTGATGATATCGTGCTTGACTTTCTCTAGTGGTTCCAAAGGGGATACTTGTACAACCTGTGATCGACTCGGTAAATAAAGGTTATAAGTAGTTGTAATTAAAGAATCAGCCTTTTTAACTGAAATGATTATACTTTCTTTATCCTCTTTGAAATTTATATTCGAGACGGTCTGATTCAATCCTATGATAGAGATCATAGATTGTTCCAGTATTCGAACCACCAAGGATGATAAACGTTTGATTTTTTTGCACTTGAACTCGTTATACAATATGACTTTTCCACCGTTGCTGTTAAGCATGGCGCAGATAGCAGCTATTATTTCGTTTAATTTTTGTTCCTTGTATTTTCTATTAGCCGGACTGCTTTCAAATTTACAGAAATATATGGAATGACCCGTCTCATCAACACAACGTTTCATTGTTGTTCGAGGCTTCATCTTGGTTCAGTTGGTTGGCTAAAAATGTTTCTTGGCCAAGTCTTTGATATATGACTTCAATAAAATATCGAGGCTTTCAATCCGGCCCTACAGTATAGAACAGTGAAAGAATAACTATTCAAATTAAATTTTTGCTTAGGTTAGATGGTTATACTTACGAGCTATATATAGTTACTTATGAGGTAATGACAAACCGGGCTATAAAAATAACATTTGGTCATCATGACGTATATATAAATATGCTAATATGATATTTGAAAAAGTGAGTCATCACAATTCACAATGCTGCGATTCAAATCAATGTATCTTTTAATGTTTTTAGATGAAGTTATATATACAGGACAGGTTGAAACAAGAGATCTATATGGGATATATATAACCATAGTTAATGATATAACTGCTTGTTATGCACATGCATTGTTCATCATCAGTTTGATAAGATTTATCCAAATTGAAAATATAACTGCTTATTATGCACATTTCAATTTATTAAAATATTTGGGAAAGAAACGGTCTAGAACAATATTTGAAAATTGTTGAATGATGTTAGGCCAACAACGGTTAGGTCAGTGTGACATAGCCGACTATAAGCAATAATGGAGTTGGCATCTATCAGTAAGTTAACTATAAGCACGCTGATTTATCATATGTTGGCTCATTTATTATGTTAAACACTTGAAAGCATATGTTTAAACTTGCATGAACTTTTAACAAATTGCATTTTCATATAGCGTAAGTTACGGACTAACGGCCAGCTCACAATTACTATGCCTATGGCTATGGGATTTAGTTGCAGATGTATTTTATTCGGTATTTGAATTAGTTCAGTCTTCAATTCTAGCAAATTTCTTCTGTGTCTGTCACACGTGTTTAAGATCCGATTGAGAGGGTTATCGGCGTTTAATGTCATATAGGTCTATAAACCACATTTTCTTGCTGATTCACGACAATACTCTAAACAACACTCGTGGTATTATAAATATTTCGCCAAACACGCGTGCGATTTTTCATGGACCTTCATGATACTTTTCAAACCGTGTAATTTCCTATACATATGTCATATATAAACCACATTTCCGTTACAATCACAACAAAACTTGGTTAGAAATATTTAAAACATGCAGCGTTGATATAATAGTCTTAACTGGCACGATGTCGTGTTTCATTCTATGGCTACGGTTTCACTAATTGAGTACGGCTTCGTGACGAATTTAACTCGGATGAATAAGAATTGACTATTTGACTCCATGACTGGCCATCATATAGTTGCACAAAAATACACTATGAAGATCAAGTGTAATATAATTTATGCACTTCGTTGATTCGATATTCATGCGTCGTATATATGAAATGAAGACGCGTTTCAGATGTTTAATTTCTCCTGACCATGACGGATAGAACTTGAGCAAATTTAATTCATCAGACAAATTCAAATACAACACACTATCGTCGTATAAACTTGTTCGTTTTATTTAATTTCTCTGAATTAAATTCGACGGTAGTGTGACGTGTCTTAATCCATCCTTTCGAATATTTCGGTTTATTATTCTGTTTTATACTGTAAGAATAACAATAATAATATTTATTCGGGAAGCTCCACTCACCGAAGTGTTTTTCAAGTGAAATTGTGTGAAAACACTCGAAAATTGTGTGAACACTCCGCCCTTCGGGCGTCGTGTTTCCACAAAATTTCTCGTTTTCCCAATTCCACTCGTGTTGATATAACTGTATATCAACACGGAAAATGTTTTATATTTGTTAAATAACACATAAAGTTATATATTATTACAGAAACCAAGTATCCAATCCCGTTTATATGTGTGGCTCCTCTACCTGTCCTTAGGTACAGGTAATCGCTCAAAAATAAGATTCGTTATTACAATATTAATGTTGGCAACTGGCCCCGGTTGATCTGTTACTCAACTCATTCCACTTCGACAAGAACAAGATCTTGTCGTTTGGCGAGCATTGAGATGAGCATTACTAGAATCGAGTAACATTGATAAAGACGACTCCGGTTGGGTAAAACACTTTTTAGCCAATGAATATGATAAGCGAAGTACTGTTTAAGAATCGACATGGTCCAATGGCGTTAGCCATGTGTTTACTGAATTTATAAAGTAGATGCATAGTTTACCTTCAAATTGAGGGATAGTCTAGTTCTTATAAGTGCTTCTAAGAAACGTGCTCCAGTTAAATGTAGAACTGACCTTTTTAAAAACTGTTTCGTTCCGTCATGTGTTGACGACTGTGTTACATAATAATTGCGGTAAAATGTTCCGATACTCGGGGAACATGTCGTATAGGGAAATCCCCTTCTACGCTGCGCAAATACAATTCATCTTTGGCTTTGCAAAGTGGAACGGACTCGTTTTTTCCATTGTATTTTAGTTCTTGTAAAGCTATCAATATCATCGAAGATGCCGGTTGTCTGTGCGACGATAATTGACGAGCAGATATCCGCTGATTGGATGTATAAGTTATATAGGGCGGGCGAAAATGCTGCTATAGCCGAAAAAATACATCAACATACAAGATCAGATTAGCTCGTATGGATTTGATAAGGTAATCGTTGCAGAAGTCGAACGAGGTAAGCTTTTACTTGGATATAAGACATATAAGTATGACATTTCGTGTGATTACGTAATTTTGGGGGCCACAACTTAATAGCTATTTTGGCCCCGAGAAAAGATTTAGGACTAAGGGAGTAAGGCCTTTAAAGACCATGTCAAGTCCGTAATGTTTACACTTTGGACTGCTATATTTGTAAAATAAGACATACTAACTGAATATCTAACACTTTTCTGGTTCGCTTTTGTAATTGAATATAAACTAGAGTACGTTTCAATTCAAAAAAGTTCGAAAGATTCAAAATTTGGGCAATGTTTATATCTGTGGGTCCCTTTTGTTATGAGCAGAAATGATGCGCAGAACGGACTTGACATGGTCTTTAATTTTATAACAATATAATAGTCCGCAATATTAGCTGGACAAGGTCCAAATCGCTTGTATTAGGACTCGTCTTATCTTCAACAGATTATCTATGTTTCATGTTGTGTAATTAAGTTTGTGTAATTTAGTTTATCTGCGCACAAACTCGAGCCGAAGGCAAAGGTGGCTAAACAAATAAAACAATGCAGCGATCAATTGGGCCGATTTCACGTCAGTTTTTATACCGAATGTTAATGGCGAATAACACTGAATCGGTCGGGAAAATCGCTGTGTGTAAACGTGCAGTAGCTAAAAATCATCCAGAGAATCGCAGTTTCAGTAAACGCAGCCCAAAACATTAACTAGCGGAGGCAATTTTAGTGTAAACTATTTCTAGTCTATAGGCCTCTATAGTGATTGTGCTTCTCGATTTCGGTCGACTCTCTCATTTTGCGAGAGAACTTATGACTATTAATCGCCAAAGTGGTTGCTTCGTCCCATACGATGGTACGTAAGTCGAAGTATGTTTATAGCCACAGCAGATTTATCTAGCTCGGCTTTGACCAGTTTCACCAATGTAAACCAGACCACATTCACAAGGAATGTAGTACACACCAGTGACCAGGTTTCTGAGATTCATTCACGTTGTCCAAAAGACGTATTGAGAGATTTCGATTTCGATTAGATTTCACCCACTGAGTTATTTCACCAAGAAGATTGAATATCAGTCCTCTGTTTGTTTACCATACATTGGTCCAGCTCCGCACAAAATCGAGAGGATTTTGAAGAATGCAGGTATATATAAAGGAAGAATGCAGGTATATATAAAGGTATACCATTCCAGGGAAAACAAATCGTTTCGAGCTCTTTGCACACATAAGGAGAACGTGAATGAATCTCGGAAACCTGGTGTGTGCCGCATTCCTTGTGAATGTTGTGATTGGTGAAACTGGTTGAAATCTCTCAATACATCTTAAGGAACATAAGACGAATTGCGAGAAAGCCGAGCAAGATAAATCTGCTGTGGCTAAACATACTTGGACTTACGACTATCGATGATAGTCTTATGTTCACTCGCAAAATGAGAGAGTCGATTGAAATCGAGAAGCACCATACTGTATAGGTGGGGATGGAAAGCCACTAGATAGTACGTGGCGTGCTCTCTTTAATGTGAACAATTAATTTCTCTTGTCTTGGATCCGCGCTCGTTAACTAGAATGACTTCACTACAGTACGTTTCATTTACTAAATTTCAAATGACGCGAGCCATCAGATCACGATACTTTGAAATATAAAAGCATAGAGATTGTAAATAACTCACAGAGTAGATACATTACAGGTTTGTAACTAGTGTAGTGTACCCACTTTTTTCGTGCGCATGCTCGGCAAGTTACTAGATGCATGCATCTGATTGGATGACCACTCGCTTTAATTGCTCGCGGAACTTGCTGAGCACGCGCAGTTGATAATTTTTTGCGCGGTCACCTGAAAAAAGTGGGTACCAGTACATGAAAACGTAAGCTTCCGCAGTGTTTACAACGGTCAATTACAGCTCTGTATATGTATTTACTCTGTGATAACACTAGAGGAGGCATCAAGGTTAAAATTTGGGAACGCGGCTAATGGGGGGGGGGGGGCAAATTTAGGTCCCGGATATAAAATCATGCTCTCATTGGCTAAAT